AGGGCGTGGCATATTCAAGGATAAGGTCGTCTAGTTTCACTATTATACCAATTTCAGTCGAGGAGTTTGAACCACAATACGCATCCTTGACATCCTTTCTCATCGTTATGCATCAGCTCCACCCCTTGCAAGGTTGTTTATTTGCTTCCAAGTAATTAAAATCTTAGAAGACAATACTATAATAGGGTTTAAACGTAAAAAATTCCATCTAATTAGGAAGTGTAAAATCATTTTTGACATTTCAATGAGGACAATAGAGATCTTTAACTTTTACAATAACCTCATCGAAGCTGTTTTTGATTAATCTCATTGTCATTTTTTAGTCATTGAGTATGACTAAATTCGTACTTCTCTGATATTTTCTTATTGAAAAGTACTTTAGTAACATAAATTTTAACTTATGAATTTTTCGAAGCCTGATATATAAAGTCTAGATAAGTAAAATATTATGAAATTTCATGTTTGTACTGTAATATTCGATAATACGCCGATACCATAGTGTACAAGGTGAACTACTGTAGCAAGCAGTAGATGCCATTTAATAATATAACTTATTACATGTTATGATTTGATAATTAATAATTTAAGCCAAAAGTTATATTTTAAAATATAAAAATAAGAGTTTAAAATGCGTATTTATCTATAAGCTAAAGGAATAAATTTAAACTTCGTCTCATCGCTGAAGTAAAATTCGATTCAAAATGGCGGATTTTTTGAAAATTCTGTACTTCTGTTAATTTAAAATTGAGACATCTACCAGTAAATATATTATTTTAATATAATAATTTTATGGTATTATCACAATATAAATGCTAATCATGTACTTTACCGTTATTTAATCGTTGACCTAGTAATATTCGTGTAATACCGGTATTGCACGAAAGGTCGTATAGGCAAGGCAAGCCGGGTAATCATCATATTCTTATATAATTAAGGCAGACAGTTTTTATGAAAAAATTATTTATTTACGAAGACATTTCTACAGCCATTTAGTAAACGTAATGATAACCCAGGGGTGCAAAAGGCAAGTAAGCGTGCACAGCGGGTACAACAGCTGGTATGATCTTGTTTACGCTAACTGATGCGGGGTCTTTGCTAGAATCAACACCTGGTTCGTTAGTCTGGATATCAGCACGGAAACCTGCAGCATCAGCAACGTAGTTTACAACACGGTGTCTACCATCAGCAACGGAAAGACCATAGGCTCCAACTTTGTTTCCGGCAAGATCACCGCTTTCGCGACGGAATGTTGCTCCAGTTCCGTGCCCTTCGTTGTAACCAAAATGATAGTTGCCCAAAACCTATACGAGAAAATATATTTTATAAACCCTTCATAAGATCATTGAAGTTTTAAAGTATAGTAATTCTTTACATACGTCTTGGGTGCGGACTTGGGAGCTTACACCAGTACCAAGGTGGTGCAGAATTGGTACAGCTTGAGCTGCGGCGAGTACGGCGCACAAGATAAGCAACTGTAAACCCAAATTGTAAAAAATTAAGCTGGGAATTTTAAATTTAATTAAGAATTTCTGTAACAAGTATACGTACCTTCATGTTGGAAATCGAAGTAGAATCGATCTAGGAAGAGTCGCTCTAAGAACACACCTTTTATAGCTCCAAATATTTTTTTTTCTGTAAAGTAATTTAAATATTTTCAGGTGTCATCTGATGACGCAAAAGATGAGTACGACCATGACCTAGATCGTCAGTGAAAAATTGTAAATACATGTTTTATTAATTATATAAGATTGAGCAATATTCAAGTATTTAAATTTATTAATCAGTGATTAAATTACAAAAGTTATAAATTCTATTTAATTAAAATTAAATAAACTTAAAGCAATTCATTACGTACATTTTCTTCTAAAATAACTGTAAAAATTTACGTTGATTACGTAAAATTTACGTATATTCCATAACATTATATGATGTCATATTTACACAGAATTCAAGTCAGTTACACTGATAAACTTCCTTGAAGATGTCATTGATGATATAGCCTTGAACGTCTCGAGATCATCAGCATTCTTACTGGATCATCATTGCGCATGTTTGTAGATTAAAGAAGAGGTATATAAACGAGCGTAATTGGCGACGTCAGACAGATACTTTCTGGATACTTAGAAACACGTGCATTGTATTGTTGTGGATACTTAAAGGATGGATTAAGCGCACGTTCATGAAGAAGATAAATACATTCTGTAACAAATTTTGTAATTATATTTAAATCATTCAAAAGCATAAAATGTAGATGCAGCATTATAATAAAATATCCTGAACGTCTCGATTTACTAGTGTCAGGGCTCACCAGTGACCAAGCGGTTCCATTTCCTGAACACTGGGAATTCGGTCGTGGGTTCGGGCCTCACCAGGACGGGCTGGCCACGTGGAGTTTTCCGAGTTTTCTCCATATCTATAACTCCTGAATAGGGGCAGTTATCCTTAAAAAGACCTCCCGAAAGGCATTTCCCTAGGCAGATCGCCCAAGTGTTGCGTTGCCCAAACTGGTATCAGAAATTTTTTTATTTATACACCCAAAAAACAGTTATAATTCGCTTCAAATACGTTTAAAAGAGGAATTTATCAAAGAAAATTTTTTATAATATAATTACATTCTTGAACATTTTAAGTTTTAACGTTATTATTAGCATTTTGTAAATTTGTATACATCGTGTCCGTTAAGTATGAAAGTAATAGAAAAGAAAATAAATGTAAGTAAAGTTAATATAATGGCATATAAACTTTTGATTGAAATTAACTTTAACACTTGGCCGTCTTAGAAAGTATTAAATGCAAAATGAGGACGTCCTTGAGAACGTAGCATCAAGGTAATTTAAAAAACGTAATTTAATAACGGTTTGTAAAATGTTGTTAAAAATAAACGTGAACATTTTTACTTATTATTTGAATAAGATTAAATCTTTGGCAATATATTTACTTATTTTTCCTGCTTTTATGTTCTTTATTGATTCATACGAAATTATAATACTACAAACTCGGTTACAGGGATCCTGGTCACAGATGGGCCTCTAAATAAAGGGGGCCTTATCCTTGAACATGCCTTGGAGCCTCTGAATGGGCCTTTTATATAAATAAATAAATAAACTATACGAATGTCATATAAGTTAAAATTTCTCATGATAAGTTATTTTTATTCATACATTTTTATGGTTTACGAAGAGGAAATCTTAGAAGTAAAGCCTGGGGAGCATCTCATTTTCAGGGTTTTCATTAAAGGTTATTAGATTTATAATATAAAACTGTAAATCTTCAAATAAATCTTTAAATAAAAATTTACTAAAAATTCCGTTGCAAAGACAGAGAAATAAGAATTTTTATGATACATTTTTATCACCAGTCGAACGTTTTATGTGAATTTATTTTAATAAATTTAACTTGAGTATTAATAATTAAATGTGAGTAAATTTAATGATTAAAAATGCAAAAAAGTAAATTTTAATTTATTTTTTAAAATTGTAATTATTAATTTAAGAAATTTACATTCTTTTTTAGTTGGGAACTTCATAAAAGCTTTTAATATTTTACTAAAATCTTTTTATTACGTTATTTCGTTTTAATTTCTAAATGCTATTGATTGATGATTTAAAAACTGGATTAAATTTGACAAATTATATAGAAAAGCAATTAAAATTCTATTGTTTACACAATAAAATTCACAAAATCTCTATTTTAATACATTTATTTATATTCTATTTTTTATAGAAAAACATTTTTTATTGATGTATAGAGGAGGAGTTTCTACCTAATCGCTAGCAACCCCTGAGGATTCAGTCGATTTATCTGAATAATACATAAATTAATCTGGGGATGGGAAACAAATTTATTATTTTATTTATTTATTTCATCATATTTTTAATTCATTTTAATTATATATCAGAATAGAAAAGAATGTGCGAATTAAATATAATTTTGGAAAAGGTTCGACAAGCAAAAAAGATGGGAAGCCCTGGAATAAGCCTACACCAACACTACTAATATACAGTATACAGTAAACTCCGCTTTAAAATTGTTTGTATAAAATTCTATATTTTTATGGTCATTTACATATATTTTAAGCTTCAAACTTTTATTTTTAAGAATGTAATCTCAATTTATGATTTACTCTTCTCACATCTTTCTCATTCCCTCACTTTCTGATTTTTTAAAGCCTAGGCTCTATATCTTAATAATAATAATAATAATAATAATTAGAAGTTTGGTTATTTTAGCTTATCGTTGCTATTTTTTATCACAAAATTTGTCAAAGAGATAAAATCAGGTGTAGAGTGAGGTGTCCAGGTTTCATAATAGCTTATATTTTCCGCAATGCCCTAGAGAGTAACTATGAAAAATTTACTGTAGCTGGCTTAAAAGTGTATAAAGAACAGACAGAAAAATAGATATTCTATTATAAACACGAGTCCCAAAACAATTTAATCAGACAGAATTCCAAATTATAGTTATTTTTCACTCATCCAAGATGTACTGTACAAAAAATCAATTTTATGTTAATAAGAATAAAAAGTATACTGTTTAAACATCTTTTCTACCAAATTATCAATTTATTTATCAAGAAAATTGCGAAAAAGTTATACAAATGTATTTTATTATTTTTATTTTTCGTCTATATTTTTTGTTATTTTGATTATTATCATATCTTTCGGGTTAGGTTTCTTAATCTTTATTTTCTAGCATTAATCATTGAAGAATATTTCGTTTTAGATAATTTGAATTAAAAATATTTAAATTGTACTTAAATATTTACAAGGCCTTTATATACTTTTATAAATATCATCCGATATTTTGGAGAAAGTATCGGATATCCGATAAACCGGATAACCTTCTATAACAGGAGTTTTGAGTGGCTTAATCATACGATAATTCATTAGCGATTATAGATCTATGACTCGAAATTCAAGTCGAGTTTCAAGTCGAATGACCTTTCAAAGTTTATTTTCATATTTGACGTCACGTTTTAAAACGGTATATATACGAGAAAATCAACACAATTGGCATCATTCGATTCGCTTCACAGCAAGAAAAATGAAGGTAAAGATAAAAATATCTCTCTATATTATCTCTTGTTATAATAAATTTATTATTTTGCATTAAAATTTTTATAAATTTTCAGTACTTGATTCTCTGTGCCATTGTTGCTATTGCAAGAGCTGCAGTTTTAGTTGCTCCTGCTGCAGGAATTTTGGAAACTGGTGCTAGTGTGCAACATAGAAACCAAGATGTAAGTTATATTTAAGAAACATGCTAAAATATATGTTAGATATATTAAAATTCCATTTTTTTAGGCTTTTGGCAACTACAACTTTGGTTATAACGAAGATCATACCACAGGAGGTACCTTCAGAAGAGAAGCAGGAGATGCTTTAGGAAACAAAGTTGGTTCTTATGGCTTGAGAGATGCTGATGGACGTCTTCGCATCGTTAGCTACGTAGCCGATGCTGCAGGTTTCAGAGCCAACATCCAGACTAACGAACCCGGAACCGAACCCAAAGACCCAGCAGCAACTCTTATCAATAAGGGTGTAGCCGCTGCTCCAGCTGTTGCAGCACCAATAGCACCAGCAGTCGCATACGCAGCAACACCAGTTGTAGCACACGCACCCGTTGCAGCTGCACCACTCTTAAATTATGGCTATTATACCGGTCACGTAGCTGCTCCTTATTGGTAAAAATTTACAGAATAAGGAATGGCATGTCTCGTTATTTGTGAACTGTAAATAAATTTTCAAAAAAATATTATATATTTTGAGGCATGTTTGTATTCATTTAAACAACTGTTAATAAACAGGATTGATCTGAACTTATATAGAACTGCTTCAATTGTTTTCTTGTGGTTTTAAACATATCCTAATAATCAACAAATACGTTTAATAGAAGAAAAAAAATTGCTTAAAATACTAAATATATATTTTTAAAATAAAACACTTATTTTACTTCAAAGTTTAAATATATAATTAGCAATATCTTCATCTTTCTAAGAACCATATAAGCCCATTGACCTTTACCAGATTCTTCTGTCGCTCCCTAATTTTTGCTTCCACTTTCAGTCCTTAGCTCCACATCTTTCTAAAACTTTCCTCATTTTTTTAAATCCATTTTTTAATTTTACTTTTCTTTCTGCTTTTGCTGATTTCGTTATTTTAAAATCAAATAAAATTTTTATCATTCTGTTGCCACTCCTGTTCATTTAAGTCTGTGACTTTTATGTGTTCAGTGATCAACAATATAATAAGTAATACAGGATATTATGTTCCTGAATGATAATAAGACATTAAGTAAACACATTTAGCAAAATTTTACTAAAAAATATTCCAAAAATTAAGAAAATCAACTTATGAATAAAATAAAAATACTCCTTATTCAATTTGAAAATAAATATTTTAAAAATAAATATTTTTTAAAATATTTTCTTAT